ATGTACTATGGTGGCGTCATGATGTTACATACAAAATCCCCTTTTCCAAAAATACCAACTAATTCATTAATTAAAGCCTACAGTATGTTATCTCACAATCTTTTTATCTCACAATCTAGTTTTATATTCAGTGTGTCTTATAAAATTTCTATTTGTCCTTCTATGCTAATTCTTCAGAAACGGTACTGCATGTTAAAGGGTATATATTCTGGATACCATTATCAGTAAAGTCGGACAGTAGTTACCAATTGCCAATGAAGACATTTTGCAGTTTGAATACAGCCACTACTCATAAGGCTTAGTAACAGGCAATTTAGCAAGTATCGCCTGGGCAGCAACAATTACCAACACCATTGGCACCACTGAGCCGTTTGTAAAACTTCCTGGTGAACTTTTAATCACATAATATATGATAAAATAACTGTTTTTTTGTTTGTTTTGTTTCTTTCCACATGTACCAGTAATAATAGTACCATTGGTTACCAAATCTCTAAAATCTTTCAATTTTCTTACCCATTATTCAACTTGCCATATATTATAGTATTTGAACCCTTTTCTTAATATGTGAAAGAGCAGATTTGCAAATATGTTTCCAAGAGGTTTCATCATTACAGTGAAGCTTGTTAAGGGAATTTTGATTGACTTACTGACACTCCGCTCCCAGCTGTAATCTCTATTATAATTTTGTAACACCCACCTCCAGTCTGTCCTTCTCTCCTTGTGCAATCTTCACTGGTTTACCCTGCTTTGGGATGCTTTCCCAAGCAGGGCAGACCACCTCCATGATGTAGACACGCTGGCTTCATTGCCGGAAAGCTTGCATCTGGATGGAGTAACATGAGTCACTTCTTTCTTATTCTTAGTATCCAATGCTAGCAGACCCATAGCAACCACAGCACATGCTATGGGTGGAGAGAAGGGCTTGCCTGTATGCCTGTAGGTGGTCTCTTCTGCTCTCCTTTATCAATTAATTATTCTGCATATTGTCTATTTTTAGATAGTTCAACCCCCACCCAGTCTATACATTTGCTAGCAAAACTACCAGAACAGTGTATAGATGGAGTTGTATGCACTTTAAAAAGTGCAAAAGTAGTTTTGAAAAGTACAGTTGCCTTTTCAAATATCATGGAAATAATAAACACTTTTCAGATTCTTGCCAATCAAATGATTAACAATTCATACCATTATCAGAGGAAACACTAAAATAAAATTATTATTCAGTTATAAAGTCTATAATTTGCTATTAATTCTTTTATAAAATTTCCTTTCGTATTGTAAGCTTTGCAATATGTTACTTATTCCTTCTATTCATTTTTCTTGAAAAATTTAGAGGAGAGCCTCTATCAAAGCCTCACAAAGATACCTTTAAGGTTCTCTACAGCTTACCAAGCTGTCCATGTAGCTCCCACGTCCCTTCCATGGCTTTCCTCGTGGCACAAAAGTCAATAATATGGGCCCGTGGGCCAAGACAGTCTCCTCCACAGTTCATGCATACCTTGTCAATCACCAAGCATATTTATTTGGTTGAGAGCTTAGAGTCAGTACCATGCAGAATTCTTCAAAAGGAGCACTAAATTTCACTCAGACCACTTTATTTCAGTGAAGATGTACTGGTGCAGTGGTCCTGTCATTTTAACCCTGCATTGTAAAACATTCCAAAGTTAAATGCGCATCTAGTGGCTGACTTCGTGACAGCCACTCAAAGCGCTTTCTTAACAACCAACTGAAGCTCACTTCATTTGGCTGAGCATGCCTAGTTCCAATTCATTTCTTCTCTTGAAAAGCAGTAGATTGTAGGAGTGATGTCAGCTTGGATGGTGACATCACTGGAGGAAGAACTAGAGGTTGCAGCGGAAAATCGTTTTTTGCAACTCTATACAAGTCTACAGTTTTTTATTGAGCCATTTATTCAATTTTGAAACCAGACCCTTACGTTATCATGTTATAGACCAAGCATGTCAAGTTCAAAGGCTAACACGGGCCAAATAGACAAGATTTAAGTTTATGTGGGCCGCAAAAAAACCAAAAACTTCAGTTTTCATTAAAAAAGGTAGATTTATTTAGTAAAGCACAGTATCAAAAAAAGTTGCCTAACTGACACTGGACATCATCACGCTCGTAGGGCTTCAAAGTAAACACAAGAGAGCAAATTAATCTTAAGGAGATGTGCAATTGCATATAACCAATGTTTCAGTCCAACTACCTTGACATATTAAGAAAAGTTTGGCAATGGGACTGAAATGATGAATGTATGCTGTTGCACAGCTGTAAAAAAACAAGTGACATTATCTTGTTGATTTTGAAGTCCTATGAGTGTGTTCTTCACTTTGGCTGAGATCATCAAACTTGAAGATATCAGCCAATCCAATGCTTTCCTACTGGAAAGCATTGGGAGGCTATTGTGCATGTGTGATGAAAAGCTGCGTGGACAGTCAGCATCTCTATGGGGAGCGTTCAACACCTCTATGCAGAGCCAATCTAATACACTGGCCCCTCCCCCCATTCTAATACACTGCTCACAAATCTAATTCTTCCCCTCCTTCCTTCACTCTAAGACCCTGCCCGCTCCACCCAATCTAATACCCTGCCCACCGCTCTAATGCACTGCACCCCCATCACCGCTCTAATACACTGCACCCCCATCACCACTGTAATACACTGCCCCTCCTTCCCCCAATTTAATACACTGGCCCTCTCCCTCCCCCAAATTAACACACTGCCCCTTCCTCCCTCAAATTAATATACTGCCCCCCCTTTCCTCCCCCAATTTAATACATTGTCCGTTCCTCAAATTAGTGCATTGCCCTCGCTCCCACCACTCTATTACACTGGTCCCCTACCTTTTCCAATTTAATGCCCCTCTTTCCTCCAATTTAATACACTGCCCCCAATTTAATACACTGACCCTCTTTCCCCAATTTAATACACTGCCCCATTTAATACACTGCCCCTCTTTCCCCCAAATTGAATACACTGTCCTCCCCCCCAAATTGAATACACTGGCCCATCCCCCAATTTAAAACACTGGCCCATCCCCCAATTTAAAACACTGGCCCATTCCCCAATTTAATACATTGGCCCTTCCCTCAATTTAATATACTGGCCGTTCCCACAATTTAATACACTGCCCCCTCCCTCCCTCAAATGAATACACTGCACTGCCTCCCCTTCCACCACACTGTTACACTGGCCCCTTCCCTCCCCCAATTAATACACTGGGCCCCCTATCTCCCCCAAATTAGTACACTGCCCCTCCCTCCCTCAAATTAATACACTGCACTGCCCCCTCCCTCCTCCAATTTAATACACTGGCCCTCTCCTGCTCCCCCCAAATTAATACATTGCCTCTTCCCTCACTCAAATTAATACACTGCCCACTCGTCCTCCATCTTAATACACTGTCACCCCTTTTCCACCAAATTAATACACTGTCTCCTCCCCCCACCCCCAACTTAATACATTGGCCCCCTCCCTCAAATTAATACACTGACCCCTCCCTTCCCAAAATGAATACACTGCCCCTCCCCAATTTAACACACTACCCATGAAGGTCCCCCAGGCCCCTCTTCCGTTACCTTTAGATGAGCTATCCGTCCTCCTGTTCCAGCTCTGCTTTTCTCTACACAGGCCAGAAGAAGAGCAGAGTTGGAACTGGAGCAGGAGGGCACTGCGAGCAGGAGGGAAGAGGAAGTGGCAGGCCTGCTCTGCAGACAGACAGCCACTCTGCCCTCTTGTGGCAGTGGGAGGGAAGGCAAGAATCAGACCGGAAATCAGACTGGCCACCTCCCCCAATTTAGTACACTGGGCCCCCTACCTCCCCCAAATTAATACACTGCCCCTCCCTCCCTCAAATTAATACACTGCACTGGCCCCCTCCTGCTCCCCCTCAAATTAATACATTGCCTCTTCCCTCACTCAAATTAATAAAAGAATCAGACAAGAAATATCTTTCCTGTCTTGCGGCTAGTTGCAGCCACAGCACAAAGCAGCCCCAGGGCAGGTGGGCCGCAAATGTATTCATTGTGGGTCCCAAGTGGCCCATGGGCCGCAAGTTTGACAAGCTTGTTATAGACCATCATTAGTCCATAATGTGTATAGATTTGATGATCTTGGCTAGGGAATGGACAATTCCCAACTATATACACAGTTGCATTGCTCTTGTTTTTGCAGTAGATAAACCATCACAATGCCTTTTGTGATATTATCTATTATTCACAAACTTGTAGCGTAGCCAGTGAATTGTGGAGGACTTTCTGGTTAATATTTCATAAAGAGGTTAAATATTTCAATGCAATTCCCAGTATGTCATCTCTTGTAATTTCTCGGTGAGAGGATCTGTATCACAATGTTATATGTATATTCCTACTCTACTGTGTACCCCCTACGTAGGAGCTCTTTAACATTATAAACAAATATATACACACACACACACACATCCATTTATCTATCTATATATATTTTGTAAGTGTTCCTTACTTTTAGATTCTGTACCCCCCTTCCCCAAAACACAGTTTTTACTCATCAGTCATCCAGCTACAGGCAGTCAGTCTCCACCCAGCAGTAGTACATCTAAGATCATCTTGAAAGACGATCTCTTGTCCTATCCAATGTTCTCATTGCAATGGGGACCTACTGGGGAAGTGTGGCAATCCCCACACTCAGTCTTGCTTATATAGTGCTTATACACTCTACATATTCCACTTGGCTCCACATGCTGAAAAATATGCCCTTGTGAACATCAGTTTTTTTTTTTTTTTTACAGGCTATTCTATGCATACGTACTTGTGCATGGTACAGTAATATGCTTTCCTATGAAAATCACAAGGGCAAGTGCAGTATTTACTTGCGATAAGTCAATAATGTGTATAGAGGGATCATGGTATTTGCTATGACTTTCAGCATTTTGTATACTTTTGGAGTGTGTGCAGTGAGTATACTGCATGTAGCTTTTCATTCCTATTTTAAGAGTACTTGCTAGGAGTTGTGGGTAGCTTTGGAGACTATTGGATGCTGGTGAGCTGCACATGCATATCCCCAAGTTTGCTGACAGCATAGCAATATTGTCCAACAAGGTCAAAATAATTTGTATAAACTATACTGATGTTACATATTGGCAGACATTTGGCTAACACTATAGGTAGATGGTATTTTTTTTTTTTTTAATTGACTCTAAGGGCACTTAAAAAGAGAGCAAGTACACTGTAGAGATTGAGATATTAGCTACTTAAAGGGACACTATAGTCCCAAAAACAACTTTAGCTTAATGAAACAGTTTTGTGTGTAGATCATGTCTCTGAAGTCTCACTGCTCAATTCTTTGCCATTTAGGAGTAAAATCACATTTGTTTCTGTTTATGCAGCCCTAGCCACACCACCCCAGCCTGTGACTGACACTGCCTGCGTGAAAAAAAATGGTTTCACTTTTAATCAGATAGTAACTTACTTTATGTTTTTATTTACATACAGGATGCTCCTGCAGGGTCTAGCATGCAGAACAGGACATAATAAAGTCTGAATAAAGGAACTGTAAATATTAGATGACTATTTTAGGAAGTGTTAGGAAGGCTGCGCAAGTCACATGCAGGGAGATGTGCAGGGAGATGTGACTACGGCTGTATAAACAAAGTGATTTAATTTCTAAATGGCAGAGAATTGGTCACTTAGACTGCAGGGGCATGAGCTATTCACCTAGACTGTTTAATTACAGGGACACTGTAGGCACCCAGACCACTTCAGCTAATTGAAGTGGTCTGGGTGCTGTGTCCCTTTTGCACTTAGTGCTGCAATGTAAAACACTGCAGTTCCAGAGAAGTGCAATGTTTACATTGCAGCTCTAAGTCTGCCCTCTGTGGATTCACAACGGACATTTGGTACGTTATCTGACGCTGGACATCCAGCGTCAGATTTTCCTCATAACAAAGCATTGAATAATGCTTTCCCATGAGTTGGTCTAATGTGCGCGTGGCCATTGCTGCACATGCGCATTAGGTCTCCCCTGCCGACTGATGTCGGTGGGGGAGGAGCATGGGCAGGGCCTGACTCAGCACCGAGGCACATCGGCGCTGGATTTGGGTAAGTAGCTGAAGGGGTTTTAAGTAACATAGGATGGAGGCAGGAGGGAGCGGGGCACTCCAGGATTCTCTAGTGCCAGGAAAATCGGTTTGTTTTCCTGACACTGGACGATCCCTTTAAGCTAAAGTTGTTGTGGCGACTATATTGTCCCTTTAAATACAACTGCTGTAGGTTATATTATACCATCCTCACTGTCTTATATAACTGTGTCTTTTGCTTTAAATGTCTCTGCATTTTCTCTTGGACGTAAAATACAAATTATGGCACTAAGGTAAATTTTTTCTTTTAATTTATCCAAAAATATGCATTTTGCATTATGTAAGATTGCAATGAATTCTCGTGTTATGGTTCATCCAGTTCATGGTTTCACTCCAAATGCCACGGGAGTCCCTTAATTTAGTTTTCTTCTAAGCTGCTTAGATCATTCTATCCAATTATTTTTAGGACTTTGTTGCTGACATTTCCGTTATATGATGCCTGGTCCTCCTAAAGGTTGAACCACAAATGTCACAATTTTACTTAATTACTTGTAGATATGATTTTATTCCATAGCAATATTTCCCATTAACTAAAGTTCCTTGCATAATACACTATAATTACAGTTAAATTAAACGGTGTAATAGTTCACAGTGCATTTGTACTGTTGCTTTTATATGTGTTATAGTATATTCGCTAGTTCCTTATTTTATTTTATTGACTAACAAAAAAAATCTCAAAAATATATACTACTTTTTGGGTTTTATTGTATTTTTTCAAAAAGCTTTTAATATTGAAAAGATATTTTATTTGAATTTAGCTTTTTTTTGTTTTTATAAAAGGAGATATACATAAATGTCTCTTTTAACATAATATTGACAAAGTATACACATTACTTTAACAAACTGCCATGCACCATGTACACTAGATAATGTGTAAATGAATATCTAACTTAAGCACAGTGTATTAAAAATGTACAGTTTAATAAACCATGTAAAAATAAAAAGAATTGATTGGATGCCAGTATGATCATTCATACCTGTCTTCATGTTCCATAGAACATTTAGAAGACTGTACAGTACCCTAGTCAGTAGCAGCTTGAGGTGCTAAACATTTCTGCCTCGCGTCACTGTCATCCGTTGTTAGATTTTTATTCCTTTTAGGCTCTATCCATGAATTGTGAATTACAGCATTGTTTGGCATGGGATCCGCTTCAACAATAGATACAACTCTCTTTTTCATTTTACTCTTTAGGACCTTTTGAAATTTTTGCCTTGTAAAAGCGTATAGCAATGGATGAAATATTGTGGTTCCATAGGCCATAACTAGAAAGCACAATCGAAGTTTTACCAAAAGGTCACTTGGGCCAAGACATAAAATTGTAGTGTTTAAAATAGAAATAGGTGTCCAACAAAATAGGAAAGTTGAAATAATTAACAGTGACATTTTGAAGACCCGTTTTTGCCTCTCGCGTCTTTCTCTGTGTCGTTTGACTGCCCGGCGGAGGGCAATAATCACAGACACGGAAGTCCTTACTCCGAGCACGACATTCCTGCTTCCACTGCTCTGTGAGACATCTGTGGTCTCGTGTTGTGTGGCCAATGAAATAGTTTTTTTCTTCCTTACTTTTTTCTTCTGCCCTGTTGAGAACCTTGTGCCTATTCTGATGTTGAGAGCTTGAAGTATTTTACTATAGGTAATTAACATCACTATGATTGTGAAAAAAAAGATTGGAATCTGCACCAGGAGATGATAATACATTCCAAGTTCCGTGTGATATTCGTTTGTACTGACACACAAAAGTGTCTTGTTCTCCCAAGTGTTCTCACTTTGAAAACGGAAAAAACTGACCTCGATGAAAGGAATCAAGAAGGACAGGAAAGAAACAACCCATGTAGATGTCATCAATATAACAGCCCGACCCATGGTTAGAATTCTGTTTGCAGGTTTGACAGATATATCATAACGGTCCAAAGTGATGGCAAATACATTAACTGCAGTGGAAACACTGGCAAAGGATACACATGCTTCATGAAAGCAGCAAATCAAAGCATTGTTGCTGTCCAGTGGTAGTAGTAGTATAACAATAGTTAGAGGTATACAGCCCACACATATTATTACATCAAGCACATGGAGATTCATAGTAATAATGTTGCTGACTGAGTTGATCAGGTTTGATTTCATGCAGTAAAGAACCAGTACGGTGAGGTTGCTCCCAAGACCCAGGACAATTTCCAGCATGAGAAAGCAAGTAAGAGAGATTTGGAAGCTAAGTGGGTAAGACAGTGGTCGGTACATATTGGTGCTGACGTCAAAAATATCATCTCGAACTGTTAGGTTAATTTCAGACTGCATGTTGATTTCTAGCAAGAAAGTGAAACACATCCTTTTCAATCGAGTCTTGTGAATCCTAAGGAAAGATAAAAATAAATTAAAATTAAGTCATTTTGATTCGTTATGAAAGGAAAATAGTTGAATACATTTTTTTTTTTCTTTTATGTAATCCATTGTGCAAAATGGACGAAAGGAAACCTATGGCCACTCGAGCGTTTGTGTTTAACTCAGATACAGAGTCAAGCACTCGACAAGTTAATGTTTTCTGCCTAGACTGGTTAAATCTCCATCTTGTCATTATAAAATACATTGGTTTTGGTATCAAAAACAAAAGTTACAAAGCATGTTGTGTACAGTGTTATACAATGCGGTTGTATGCAAAATGTTATATGTATCATAACGGTTCATAGCTTGGGGTAGAAATCCCTAGGGAGCTGCAAGGGGTCATGGGACCATCTCGCCCGTTAGATTCTGGAGAGTTTGTGATCTTTGGCTTGTAGGTCTAGTGAAAGTCAAAACCTAGGCCAATGGACCGTGAGAACACTAGCCCAAGTCAACCCAGAGATATGTGCGTCTATATGTCTTCAGTCTAAAGGGAGCAATGGTAGAGCTCTTGAAGACCATACTAAACTCGCCCCAGGATAATACTACTACTAATAGTGTTCTACTAGCTGCTATCTTTGCACAGCACACATTTAAAACTACATTTTTGAATTTTGAACTTCAATCCGAATTCTCCAGCTTTGACACAATGGCGAGAGTAAATTAATGCATATGAACACAAATTTTTATGGAGGAGTATTGAGTACATGATGTAGCAGATGGCTTTTGGAGCCCGTACAATTACCCTATAACCAGGTAAAGTGGAGTTTTGTGTTAGGAGCTACACAGATCTTTCTCAGTTTTAATTTACATTGTGGCACATTGAAGCAAAGATATAGGTATATCATACTAACTGTTCTGTTTCATTATACATGCAGTGTTAGGCATTTCACAAATACATCACAAGGAAAGATCTTAATGCCAGCAAATTATGGGAGGTAACTTATCATTATCCTGAATAATTCTAGTTATAACAAGCAAACTTTGCTGGTTGGCCCCACTTTCTCTGGTACAACAAAAATTACACACCATTTTTTTGTATCAAGAGATTTTTTTTTTGTCTTTTGTAGCAAATGCTTCTTGAAACTCCTTGTTCAATGTCTGCAAAATTTGATTTACCACAAATTCAGATTTAGTTTTCTGTGAAGTGGTTTTGTGTGAGATATTAATGTAACCCCACTTAATTTATTTGACAATGGAAATGTATCTATACTTTTAATATAACACAACTGTTATTGCAGGCAGATACATGAATGGCATTTCTGTGATGGAACATTAAAGAAATGGTAATAGTCCTAAATGCAATGCAAATGACATTCTTGTTTAAGTACGTGATATACTGAGGAAATGAATTTTGATAGCCCTTTAGATTTTTTTTTTTTTTATCTAGTGTAAACAATATGAATTAAGGTACGAAATTAATAATACATTTTTATATTTTACTTTGTCTGGATACAATACACTGTAAATATTCCCAGTGAAGCAATGTAAATGTGTGCTACATCATTTTAGAATGCTAGTCATTTTCGTGTCCACATTTTGATTTATGCATATTTAATTAAACAGTATAATGTGAGATGGATTTGGTACAATTTCAATGCAATTGATACAAACATCTATTGCTATTGGGATATATTTAAATTAGTATTTCCCATTTTATTGTTTAAGTGGCCTCTAGATAGGACCGTTATATTTACTTTTTTAAGACTGAACATTTCAAGAAAATAAAAGAAAAAAAAAAAATTATAACAAAATGTATTGAGTTCAAATATAAGGAAGTTTGAACAGCTATTGACACTTTAGGTTGGTAGTGGATCCATTCTCATATGTATTAGAAAATGCAATTATGTTGAATTTCCTTGGGCTAATACCTGTGTTATAAACTGATCTTTATAAATTTGTGGTTTGTGGATAAAACAATAGTCTGGCAGACAAACAGTGTTGGCGTAGCTCTCATAGCTTTGTAATGTAACCTTGTTAAATAAAAATATGTAGCAGACTGAACACATAGAAACATAGAATTTGATTTGAACCATTTGGCCTATCTAGTCTGCCTAAATTTTTGTTGAATATCATACTATTTGTATTTTTAAAATCTTACATAGACTTGTTACACATGCACATAATCTTTATATCTCTAACATTTATCTGTTGACAGCTCAAACAGGTTAGAGAAAGTTTGTTGATATATTCATATAAACGCTAACAAATTATTTTCTTTCCATTGTTATTAAAAATAAGTGTTATATGAAAGCACATTTTATTTCAATGTTTTGAACCCAGTAATAATTATTAATAATGATATATTTATATATGCATGGAGGAAAAAAGGCACTCAATTAATAAATTAATGGGATGTCTTTTATAACAGATATGTAGGCCATATTTATTTATGAATTAAAATAAATAATAATTGCATGGTTGTGAGGTGATATATTGGTAACTTCTGTGATTTTATTGATCAGAAGTGTGATTTGAGCAGAGTATCTTTTGAAAAAAACAAATGTAATAAATAGATTTGTTTTACTCTTGTGTACATTGTCTACTCTAGTGGCTGTTTATTATATTTGTTATGTTATGGAGCAAGTTCTATCATGCTTGATCTCAACACTGTTATATTTAGTTCACGAGCAGGTTCCCTGTAATTTTTTTTTATTGAAACTGCGTAGTACAAACTCCATACTTTTTTTCCCCCTGTATTTATTGCCACGTGTCGTACATTTTTTATTTTTTCCCCTTTGTTTAATTGAACTTGTGGTTCACATTCAGGGCATTGTTTTTCTCTGTCCTCAGTATCACATCTGCTTAAAGTATATTTCACACAAAGTGAAATTCTGCAGGGCTGGAAGGGGATTATATACAGATATAGTCAGTGTAATATTGTTAGCTCTAAGCAGCAATCCTACTTAGCAAGCACTGAAGTGATGTGTTCTGTGTGCTAGTTCAATTGTTTGTAATATCTTGCTTTAATATTTGAGTGATGGATTCTTGTAGTTGTCAACCAGCATGACTGCTTAATAAGATCTCATTTATAGAACATATATGTTTGTATTTTTCACATCTTAATCTTAATAAATGTAATTTACATATATGTTTTCTCTGCTTTCCTTTTGAAACAAAGGTGCATTAATAATATTAACACAGATTGTTTTTTTTTTGTTTGTTTTTTAAAAAGAACTATCAACGACCTTAGTTTCTAAATTTTGTTGATTGACATGCTGGGTTAGATGTCCATGTTTTATGTGAAACATGATCCAGCTGCATTACTCCCCATTGTGTGCTAGGGAAAGTGTTAGCTACTTTTAACTATCTCCAAAATCCTGAAGAAAATGGAAAATGTGTAACCTGCCAGATTTTGTGCTACTGTGAAATAAAGCATGAGGCCTGTCTTTGTCATATTCTCTACATTTCCTGTGACTTGAGAACACATGTTGAGAACCTTAAGTAGCAAAATGCACCATCTCACAACCTAATCAGTTAAGTGACAGTTGGCAACTTGTTGGGATCCAGAGGAGACTGCAGTACATTACAGCATGCAGGATAGCTGAGCCATTGTGCGTTTAAGCGATGGAGTTATGTGGCACAACTTGGCAGCATGCAGTAAACACCTACCTGTTTCCTTCTGCCGTAAGGGACTGTTAGTTCACTGAAGCATCTTTGCAGAACTTGGAACATGATGTCATTGTCACATTCTCAGATGGCTAAAAACATGTTGCATAGCTGAATGTTACAGCAGGGGTTAAATCTATATTTCCCCCAGTTTGTGCTGCAAAACAGACCAATTGTTTATGGTCACAATGATGGCCCTTAGTTGCCTGGTTCCCTGACGCCAATATTATGAGACATGTTCCAGTTTAGAGTTTACAATAAGTTAGAATTCTCTTGTGTTTTATTTGCTATATTGTATCACCTTAAGAACTCACAACCTACAGTGAGGAGGCCTGATTGATTCAGTATGATGGCACACATGGCAGGACTTTTTTCTTGCTAAAACACATTTTTTTTTTAAGCACGCAAGCTTATTTGTCTGGAGTCACGATGTAGTTGTTGAAAACGTTTTGTAAAATCCGGCATAAGTGCTGTAGATGAAACCATCTGTGACACGAATATCCATCCCATTCGTAATAGGACACAGCACTAATCATAACGTGGAGAAACAAATGTGCCCATCAATTGATGATTTCAGTAGGCTGTAGATATTATAAAGCCACAATCATCATGTTCAGGTATATGTGCCCTTTTTTAAAAATCCATTTGTTTAACTCTTTATCTTTCTTTTAGCATCCAAATTTCAGGAATTGCAAACATTGGTTTTACAGTATGCTCACCATTTTGTTTCCACGCAGACACCCCTGCAAACAATGAGTATGGAGGGTGACAATTCTAGAACAAATCCTAGTTCTTTTATGTGTATGAGATGCAGGTTAGCTTCACTATCCAGCAGCTAATTCCCTTGTGTCTTCAGGCTTAGAGGCTATCGAAGTAGAGTGCAATTTCTTGGGTAGTCGACTTGCAGAAATCCCATTCAATTCATCCTGTAAACGGCAATTGGCAGGACTTGGATTATAGTTGTGTACCTTTTAAATGAAAGACATGTTAGCTATAGGTTCAACTAGGTTCCTTACAAAATGAGAACAATATTACTTAAAATGTTTATATGTAAGCATACAGTGTATTAACAAAGTGCGTGTGTGAGTGAGTATATATGTGTGTGTGTATGTATGTATATATATATATGTGTGTGTGTGTGTGTGTATGCAAATAATTTCATGTGCATGTATGTGAAAAATCCTGCTATTCATCTTTGAGATTTTTTTCTCTCCCCCTCCTAAATGCTGCCAAACACATGACATTTCTATGAAGCTGGTGTAGATATTGTTTTAGTATTACCTGATTCTTAGCCTGTCGGTTGCCAGCATTTCATACTGTTTACATAGCTCGCTAGCTTGCAGCAAAGGTGGTGAAGTGCACATCTCCTGTACTATGCGATGATAATGTCTGGAATTAATGGAACTTGTACATTGCCTACTTTGAATGATGCATGTGTACATTGATTTGCTTTCAGTTAATCACACTGGATGCTATGCAAATAGGTTCTTTGACATCTATATTCAGTGCTTGTCTTAGTTGTATACATGATCCTATCTATCTATCTATCTATCTATCTATCTATCTATCTATCTATTTATCACAGAAATCTCAATGTATCCTTTCTGGTAAAATATATTATAAATATAAACATATGTGTGAGTGTACATATAAAGTGTGTATATGTGTGCTCTCTTTTCTGTCTCTCTATATATAATGTCATCATATAACATCAGTGATGTGATCAGTATAAGACTTTGCCCTAATTAAAATATGTACTGCTGCAGTCAGTGATTATTTTATGCCAATTTGTATGTTTCAGTGTCTGAAAAATATGCAATATAGCTTGTAAATGCTGCTTTCATTTTCTTTTCATTAGGATATTTCTATATTGTTTACATGCAATTTAGGTAAATGAAGAATATATTCAAGTGTCAGCAATAAAGTACACAGAATATCTTACCTCTGCTGAAGATTATAAATCCTTTCTCAACCACTTCCAGCTGCGATTTCCTCATCTTGTTCACTTGTAAGCAGAGGACACTAAAACCCAGGTGCTAAATGTCGCTCCAAAAAATGATCTTAATGAAAAGATGTTCTTATGCTGAGCCATTGTCTCATCATAATGCTAACATACAGAGCGTGCATGGCTGCTTAAAGGCTGCTGTGGTCGTTCAGTCTTCCTACTGCAAAATCAATAGGCATCTGAAAATACATGATGAAAGTAATTTAACATACTGAAGACTGCAGCTCTCCAGAGACATCCTTGTGAATCCTGTCTGTTTTAGAGGAGAGCAGCAGTGACTGTGTAAGGGGAGCTAGTGGTTGGATCTGCTTTTGCAGAATGATTGCCTGCCTCGTTGCTCCCCTTCACTGCAGAGATGCAGTGTACTCACTAATTTTGATTGGCCAGATTTGTTGAGCTTAGTGTTCTTCTGTATATAGGGCTGCATTTTTACATTCTCTCTTACACCACAATTTCAGGACCTTATGGGGAGCTGGTTAAAGAATCCATGAATATTACCCGTACAGGAATATCTATAGTGGACTATATTGAAAAAATGCATGACAAGGAAGACTTTTAGAATAACTCAATTCAATGCAGATATTTTTTGTAAAGATTTTGTTGGATTTTATTATAGCAGGAAAACCCTAAAACCATAACATTCTAAACCTCTCCATTACATTTATCTGTGTTTTTTATTAAGAAGTGCATGTTATACCCACAGGTTACTCTTCCTATAGATACTAATAAGTATTAAAGCTGCATACTACAGGACTGTGGTGATTTGAACATTATCCTGATGAATATATTTTCCTAAAACAAATGGGGACACACGGTTGCCTTGGTGACATCCCCACATTAATTTTATAAATTGGAAGTTTACAAAATTAGAGCACTTGATCATGCTTAGCTAACGGACATAGAGTTGTCTATAGTTGTTAAAATCTAGTCTAAAGCAGCTGTTCGGGCATGCACAGTTTGTCTACATAAAATTGATTCAGGTATTGATTTGTTTGCATGCAACTCTGTTTTCCAATTTGCTTTTTTTTTTAAGCTTTGAGGCTTGAATAAAACATATGGGAGCTATGTTTAGCATTTTTGTTGTCTAATCTCATATTTTTCAAAGTGTAATTTAATATACGTATATATATATATATATATATATTTTTTTTTAATCCATGTTAAATGTTGGAATTAATGGCCTGTTCTATATCTCTTTACTCCTGTGGCAGATACTGTAAATCAGCTGACTGTATTGACTGGAAATAGAAGCAGTCATTGTTCGTACAGTTAGTGGGCACTCTATGTAACAGTTTATTACAGGGAATATTAGTGGAATGGAAATATAGTATTGTTACATTACACTGTACCTACTTTCTATTCACCTACTAATTTTAGTTTTCTGCATGAGTTGGGCCAGATGAATTGTTGTGAGGAATTACTTCTGAAGCTCAAAACATTGGAATTTAGCTTCTAGTGTCTTGTCTTGGCTGCAAGTTTCTTATTGGTTCAACCAACCCGTGGGAGATGTTAATAATTCTTGAGGTTTCTTGCTCCCCAAGGCTCTTGTAAAGGGTTTCTACAACCCTTTTTTCCATAGAATAGTGCCCTATTATGCATTATTTTCTAGATCTCCTCCATCTCAAAATATGCTTTAAAAGACAAAAAATAAAAATAGGTTTTACGAGGTGGGAAGGGGAGGAATGGAAGTCAATATAGAGCAATGTGAGTGAGCAGTGCATCCACATGAGAGTGATTATAAAACACAACAAAAGCATATACCCGGTGAACAGTTTTCTAACATTTTGCCCACAGTACAGTGGGAGGATAGTAGGATGCAACCCAGAGGCCCCAAAAAGCCGTAACTCCACAAGGGAACTTTGTATGTAACCAGGGGAGGGCTGGCAGCCTTAGGTCTAGGGTACAAATCCAGTCATGTGGCCCATTATACCAAGAGGAGAGTAAAAACACCTATCTCATGTGATTGAAAGGGAGGCAGTCACCTAAACAAACACACTCACTGACAAGCACATGCATACACTCACTGACAGACACGCACCCATGCACAGACAGGCACACTCTTACAGGCATACTGACACATACACACACACACACACACACACACACAGCCATACTGGCTAACACTCACACAGACAGACATACTTGCACATACATAGACAGACATACTGACACACACAGGCATACTGACATACAGACAAACTGACACACACACAAACTTTACACTTTTAAAGCCAGTTTCCTACCTTTGCTGGTACCTTTCCTGGGGTCCAGTGTGCTGGCTAGGGTGCTTGGGAGTTAGGATCTGGCTCTGCTTGCTGACTCTCACACTGCCTCCTGGCTCTGCTTCTCTCCCGCACGGCTCATCTCTGTTGGAGGAAGTGACTCACGGTCTACATGCTGCTGTAAAGGGGCCCGGTCGCGCTGTTAAAGGACCACCCGCTGGGCCCCCTTAGTATGCGGGCCGTGGTGCAGAAGCAATACCAGCACTGGGGGATTAGCTGGATGCAGGCGGCCCTAAAAAAATAAAAATTAAATACCGACCAAGCTAATTTGCATAACCCATTATATATGCGTGACATCACAAGGAATAATGTGAGAGAGAAAAAGAGACAATATAGGCACCCAGACCACTTCATCTCATTGAAGTGGTCAAGGTGCACTGTCCCTGCCCCCTTTAGTCCTGCAATGTAAAACACTGTAGTTTCACAATAAATAAATATAGGTAAATGAACAAAGGGTTGTTTAACTCTTAACAACGCTAGGAGTGGGATGCGGGCACTGAAGAACATGTCGGTGTTGGAAATACATCTTTGTATTCCTAACACTAAAGTATTCCTTTAAAAAATATTTGGAAGAGGATAATTACCTAAGTTATTAAAAAAACTGCTTACACTTTGTTTTGCTGTATGTAGCAATTGTACTGCAGTTTGAGTAGCCTGCTCTCCTAAATGCTCATTCATTGGACTCAGTGGCATTCTAGAGGTGTGCCCTGAGTGATGGACAGAAAGGTAAACGATGGAAAGGTGGAGAAGGTGTAGCAACATATTCCACGCAAGCAAGAAGTGTCGGACTGTGCTGCCAGTGCCATTTGCAGTAGTCCGCCACGGAGGAGAGCCAGCCACCATCATAATGGCTGTGCCATCTGACCTTAATTGCAGATAATTGAGCTCTTCTGCTGCAAGGGAACTATGGAGCCTATGGACCTAGTAAAAATGTTATATACACTTCACTTTGTTAAAGGGACACTATAGTCACCTGAACAACTTTAGCTTAATGAAGCAGTTTTGATGTATAGAACATGCCCCTGCAGCCTCACTGCTCAATCCTCTGCCATTTAGGAGTTAAATCCCTTTGTTTATGAACCCTAGTCACACCTCCCTGCATGTGACTTGCACAGCCTACCATAAACACTTCCTGTAAAGAGAGCCTTATTTAGGCTTTCTTTATTGCAAGTTCTGTTTAATTAAGATTTTCTTATCCCCTGCTATGTTAATAGCTTGCTAGACCCTGCAAGAGCCTCCTGTATGTGATTAAAGTTCAATTTAGAGATTGAGATACAATTATTTAAGGTAAATTACATCTGTTTGAAATCATAGCCAGGGGAGGTGTGGCTAGGGCTGCATAAAAACAAAGTGATTTAACTCCTAAATGACAGTGAATTGAGCAGTGAAATTGCAGGGGAATGATCTATACACTAAAAATGCTTTATTTAGCTAAAGTAACTTAGGTGACTATAGTGTTCCTTTAACCTGCACACCCAGAACATGCATTTCTAAGAAGTGGTGCTGCCATAAAGTCCAACATAAATGCAAAATACAAATAAAGGAACAGCACACAGAGAAAAGACATTTAAGTTTAAAATTTTACAGGGCTACAGTATCCCAATATTGGTGAGTCCTACACTAATTTTAACATGGGAAATTAACAAGTTAACTGCAATACTTATGGCTTAAACAGCTTCCAGAGACTCTCCTCAATTTTCGCTTTCCTGTGGTTACCACTAGAGATGTCGCGAACTGTCCGCCGAACTGTTCGCGAACTGTCCGCCGGCGAACAATAGCGTGTTCGCGTTGGGCGAACATATCCGATTTCCGCCCCCTATACGTCATCATTGAGTAAACTTTGACCCGGAACCTCACAGCCAGCAGACACATTCCACCCAATCAGCAGCAGACCCTCCCTCCCAGGAAGTGTCTGCTGACTGTGAGGTTCCGGGTCAAAGTTTACTGAATGATTACGTATAGGGGGCGGACCGGAAATCGGATATGTTCGCCCAACGCGAACACGCTATTGTTCGCCAGGGGACAGTTCGGCGGACAGTTCGCGACATCTCTAGTTACCACCACTATAGTGGATGGGTGGGTTGCACCATATGGTGTAACTGAATCCCCATTTTTATTTGCTAAGATAGGTGATTTTAAGTAGCCTTAAAAAACGTAAAACTAATTTTTTTTTTTGTGCACTGTTGCTTAATCTGTACTTTGTACAGAATTTGCAAGTGCCACCCTCTGCACTTATTCAAACCACCCTCTGCAGCCATGTTTATGTGCAGTCTATGTATATCAGTGTTGCCTGTCAGAGCTAGAAACAGAGCCTCATTATTGGTGGGGCACATTTATTTATTTTTCAAACAGAAAACATATATACTTTATATTACTGATAATGCTTTAGTTTGGGTATAATGTAGTATTAAAATATTTGTTTCTAATAGTATCCCTTTTGCACCACAATTATAGATTCTTTACACACAGACAGCATGCTCTTAACCATACACCACTGCATTCATACACACCACACAAATACACCCCTGCATCATTCATCCAAACCGTACAAATATACCCCTGCATTCATTCACACAAACTATACAGATATACCCCTGCATTCATGCACACAGACAAATTGTACAGATATACCCCTGCATTCATGCACACAGACAAATTGCACAAATATACCCCTGCATTCATGCACAGTCAAATTGCACAAATATACCTCTGCATTCATGCACACAGACAAA